TGCCAGTAGCTGGAAGAATAGCTGCATCGCTCTTCCATTTCTAAAAAAATATAAAATATTTTAAATATATATTTTTATTATATATTTATATAATATATTCTTTGATGTGTGTATGGTATGGTATGGTATCTGCACATATTAAACTTCCACTCACTATTAATTCTGGCTCTTGTTTACGAACAAAATACTCTAATAATTCGTATAGTATAGGCTCGTTTGATGTTTCATTCGAATTGCTCATCTTGTTACTGCAAACATAATCTATATGTGTAAAAATACACAATAAATTCACACACTGAACGCGGCTCAGTGGCTCTACATCTACATAAAGTCTGTTCGTTTTCCTTGCACTTTCTACACTCAGGTTCTTCATTTCTTTCCCCTCCAACACATCCGAATATATATGTATCCATCTTATTTCAAGTGCAGAAATTTTCGAAGATTGCAAGAAAAATGACAAGTCTATATATATGTGCAAATATATAATCATACGTAAAAATGCACATGTGAAAAGATGAAAATAAATAGTAAGTAGCATATTCACATAATTTGATAAATATATGAATCTATCGGTATCTAGATACATAATCGAAAAGTATTTGTAATCGAAAAAGTTTTATAAGTGTTCGCGATAGAAAAGTTTTATAATTGACTAAATATCCAAATCTTGCATAAAAAAATATTAATAAAATTTATTGCATACAAGAAGATAGAATGAATCATAAAAGAATATATATAAATTCGTCTTTGCTTCGTAGAGTAAAAACGAATTTATATATATTTTAATTAAGACTTGTAATTTTTCCGCAATATTTAAGAAATACATCTTTTATTTATATAATTAATTACATGAGTCTAATTCGTAAAAATCGAAATAATTCTATCGAAAAGGTTTTGTAAGATTTTGTAAAATTTTGTGAGGTGTGCGCCTGCGGTTGCGCATGCGCGTAAGTTAGCTTGTCCGCTATGTCAGCGTGTCAAAGGCGCAGAACAGAATTACGCGTTTCTGTGTCGCATCTACGTCGTATAAATTATGTTGTGATCTGTGGTACAATGTCAATGGCGTCTGTGCATAAGCGAATTTCAAAATACAATTTGGACTGGTTATAACCGTCGCTATCAACAAGGTAGTGTGAAAATTGTGTGCCTGACATTTGTGACTGATAAAGACTCGCGAAATGTCAGACGGCGAGGACGATTTCATGTGCGAAGAAGAGGAGGATTATGGCTTGGTAAGTTTTCCTTCGAGGATCATGCGAGTTTGATGATGATTTTTCCGGCTCGCGATGAGGTTAGGATTCCGGGAGCAGTATATCGTGTATGCAATATTTAAAAATAGTTCAGGAGATGTGCCTCACAACGGGTCTTCTATGATAAATTTCATTCGTTGTAGAAAATCTTCGATTGTGTCCTGTACAAATATATTCGATTATTTGTTATTTAGGTTATGTTTTGTGCGTTTTCTTTAGTATCTTACCAGTATATTATTGTTCGAATATTATAATTTTAATCGCTTCTCAATCATAACATTTTTATTTCAGGAATATTCCGAAGATTCTAATTCGGAACCAGATGTAGATTTAGAAAATCAATATTATAATAGTAAAGCTCTCAAAGAAGATGATCCAAAAGCCGCTCTACAAAGTTTTCAGAAAGTGTTGGATCTGGAAGGTGGGGAAAAGGGAGAATGGGGCTTTAAAGCTTTAAAACAGATGATCAAAATTAATTTTAAACTGGTACATATCAAAAATATATTAATAATATTGAACATCATATTTATTTAACTTTATTATATACTATGAATTAAGAGAATATTTTCTCTCTAGTCCAATTACAAGGAGATGATGGCAAGGTATAAACAATTATTAACTTATATTAAAAGTGCAGTTACTAGAAATCACTCGGAAAAATCAATAAATTCTATATTGGATTATATTAGTACGTCAAAGAATGTAAGTATATACAATAAATAAGCATGAGATACGTATTTTGTATACATATTTTTATATACTTTGCTCTATCATGTTTAAAAGATTTTTGTTAAATATTTGCTTGAATTTTTATTCTTTATATATTAGATTTTTTTATATAAATTTTTTTTATTCTAATGAGGAGTATTTTTTTTAAGATGGAATTATTGCAAGATTTCTATGAAACTACATTAGATGCATTGAAAGATGCAAAGAATGATAGGTTATGGTTTAAAACAAATACAAAATTGGGAAAACTGTATTATGACCGTTCAGATTTCAATAAATTGGCAAAAATACTAAAACAACTTCATCAAAGTTGTCAGGTATGTATGTTTATATATAAATAACAATATATATTATTATATACACATACGTGTGTGTGTGTGTGCGCGCGTGTATGCGTGTGTGTATGTATTTAACACAACATATATTTTTTAGACTGATGATGGAGAAGATGACTTGAAAAAAGGAACTCAATTATTGGAAATTTATGCCTTAGAAATACAAATGTATACAGCTCAAAAAAATAATAAGAAATTGAAAACACTTTATGAACAAAGTCTTCATATTAAAAGTGCTATACCACATCCATTAATTATGGGTGTAATCAGAGGTAAAAAAATGAAAATTTTGTTAGAAGATTTATATCTTTACATTTGTTATTGCATTATAATATTTATACCTCTTTACTATTGTTATTGCATTTTTTATTATATATATACACATACATACAGACATACACTAATCAGAAAAGAAAAATCACAAAATGCTTGTATCTTTTTTTCAGAATGTGGCGGTAAAATGCATTTAAGAGAAGGTGAATTTGAAAGAGCTCATACTGATTTCTTCGAAGCCTTTAAAAATTATGATGAATCTGGATCACCAAGACGTACAACATGTTTAAAGTACTTAGTTTTGGCCAATATGTGAGTATAATTATCCATTGTACTGTTATAATTATCTATATTATATTAATGTATTTAATATATATAATGCATATTACAGGTTAATGAAGTCTGGTATTAATCCATTTGACTCACAAGAGGCAAAACCATATAAGAATGATCCTGAAATTTTAGCAATGACAAATTTAGTTGTCAGTTATCAGAATAACGATATCAATCAGTTTGAATTAATTCTAAAACAAAATAGGAATAACATTATGGATGATCCCTTTATTAGAGAACATATTGAGGATTTATTAAGAAACATACGTACACAGGTATATTTTCCATAATTTTAGTTTACATTAAATGTAGTATCAACAATATAGTTTACAATATTTTATAATTAGATGTTAAAATGTTTAATCTATCTGTATATATCATATTTATATTACATATTTTGATATTTTATTATTGCACATGGCTATTTTAGGTCTTAATTAAATTGATAAGACCATATACTAGAATTTATATTCCTTTCATAAGTAAAGAATTAAATATTGACGTGTCTGAAGTAGAAAGTCTTTTGGTATCTTGCATATTGGACAATACTATTCACGGCCGTATAGATCAGGTAATATTTTATTATAATCTTTTTAAAATTACATTTGCGCGCGTTGAATCATAATGATCATAGAAGATGTGCAACATTTTTTGCAGGTAAACCAAGTTCTCGAATTGGACAAAAAATCAGTATGTGCTGCACGTTACAATGCCCTTGATAAATGGGCAGGTCAGTTGCAATCCTTGCATACAGCTATTGTGAACAAAATGTCATAAACGGCATAATAAGTGCGTGATCCTGCAATAAAAACGAACTAATTTCATTTTGTATAGTATATCATAAAGTTCTATACAAATATATGAAGAAATAAGATCTATTGTGATATATAATAAATTTAGCATTTTAACACGGGCCATTCTTATTCCCGTTGAATAAACTCTATCCTAAATCCAAAATAAATAAATATAACAGCAGCTTATATTAAAAGATAAAAAGCTCAAGTTAATGTATAACTATTTTATATCATTTGACCTGTGTAAGGAAGTAGAAGAGTAAGCAGAATAAAATAGAATAATTATTTTGTTAGAGATATAACATATAAAAAGAAAAATATATAAAAAATAAAAAAGATATAAAAATATATAAAATATATAAAAGAAAAATATATAAAAAGATATAAAAAAATATTTGATATAATTTCATATAAAAAAATATATGAAAAAATATATAAAAGAAAAATATATTCATATGAAAAAATATATAAAAGAAAAATATATAAAAAAATATGTTTGAATCTAAGATCTCGTTTATAAATTTTTACATAAATAATGCTTTCAGCAAGTTGATATTATGTAATAACACAAAGAAAGAGTTTTATTTTCTTTAAATTCGATTAATTATTATTTTAAACAAAGTATTTACAATATTTTCCAGAATCCAATAAGAATTTAATTATTTAATGCTAATTTTAATTAGTTTAAATATTTTTTTTTTAATTTTGGATGTAATAAAAGCAAAGACCAATCAAATTAAATCTCTTTCTTTGTATTTACTACTAATCAAATACTAAGCCTTTTTATGCATTTAATCAGATATATAGTTAAAAAAATGTTATTCAGATAATTATCTTATTAAAATTATATGATGTGTGAAAACTTGTGAAAAGAATTGAAAATTTCAAGAATAAAATTAATTTGTATCACTAGATACTATTATATATTACATCAATGTATTGAAAAAAAAAAGTAGATTAAAATCAATTCTGTTCAAGGCTAAAATTTAAAAGTTTTATAGGAAAATATATATAATGTAGCTGTAAAATTAACATATAATGTATTATATATATTAATATATATAATGTAGCTGTAAAATTAATATATAATGTAGCTGTAAAATTCTAATTAATATAGATATCATGGATATAGATATCATTTATATAAGAATATATATAAATGTGATAAAGAAATAACCAAGTGATAACGAAAATATCAACAATATGTTTGTCAGTCTAAACTATATTGTAGCTATAATTATATGTAAAATTTAGTTATAATATCGATATAATTATTAGAATCTTTGATATAAGAATCATCGATTATGAAAAGTCGATCCTGATTTCGACGAACAAGATATAATTCAATTCATTTGGGACGATTACTTGACGGCCAAGGATGAAAACGTTCCAGTATCTTGAGTGAAAAGGATATCGTGTACAGAGAAGAAGATAGAATACACATACGAGATCTGTTATTCTACGTCTCCCTCATGCTTCGTCTGCTACACTGCCGCTCGTTACCACTTCTTGCACGTACGTACGTTTAAGTAAATCTCAAGGGAAACTAACAAACCTTAGCCCAGACGCGTGATGTATATGTGTATCCTTTGCAGAATAATTTCATGTTTGTGATTATCAGACTCGATTGCGGAACATTCTGTGCAGTTGTAATGATAATAATATATAAATGAGAGAATTTTGAATTAAAATAAAAGAGAGATCAAATTAAGAATCAAATTTAAAAAAATCAAAAAGTCAAAAAAGTTTGGGGCCTTTGTTTTTGATTTTTTTCCACACGATATTTCTTAAATATATATTTATCTTCTGATGTATATTTTTAGTAATAAATCATTCCTCTTTTCTTTTTTATTATATTCCATGAAATCTATATTAATAAGAATATAAAGAAGGGTTAATTTTATTATTATTCTTTGAGAAGTCTATTATACTCTAAGAGTTTGATATGCACAAACATACACTTAATAATATATGAGTTATTATTTTTTAATTTATTATTTTTTAAATCATTAGTAGTTAATTTGATTCTTGAAAATTGAACATTCCTATTAAGATATCCGATAGATTTTACAAATTATATATTCAAATAATAGGAATTGCATCAGCAATTTACATTATTCGATTTATGCGACTTGATGTACGCGAGTGTGTTGGAAGTGGCAATTCTAATAATTTTTGTTCAACCTAATAATGTAATAATTCATATATTGCCAATTCCATATCGGGCTGCATCTCGATTACGTTACGCATATCGCATTGCTTTATTTTGGAATTGATGCATGTTCGAAACAATTACTTTGGCATAATGATCCATGTGTTATTTAAACAAGCAGATTAGTGCATATTAATTTAACAAGAAGAAAAATAAGTAAGACAAAAAATAAAGAGAAATAATTTTATGAAATAATTTTAAAAATTAAAACTAATTTTTATTCAATAAATTTTTTTTCATATGCTGCTTCCAACATTGCATCTGTTGAATACATCTCAAGAGATTAGCGAAAAACAACAATGATATTATTATAAGTATTTATGCAAATAAATTCTAAAATCGCATAACAAGCATTTGTAGACACTTGTTAGTATCATCTTGAGATTTATTCGCTCAATATAAACGCACACATTTAACAACTTTTTCTCGCAAATCCCCGCAATAATAAAAGAAGGAAAAAAATTATTTTAACACATTTTTACACGTTTACATATAAAGAATGACCATTTTATCCAATTGTAGCATAATTTATCGGCAACACGCTAAACATTAAAAACAACGAGAGAATAAAACGATATTTCTCGTCACATTTTAAATTATAAATTTCAAAATAAACCACGTACAATGCGTGTGTATGCAGAAGGAAATTAAAGCGGGAAAAAGTTGAGAAATGAAGGCAATCTGTGCGCTATTGTCCCGTGCGTCCGCTTTGATCGCCACACAAAACAGCACGCGAATTAATTTCATTTTTGCAGAATTAGATCGCAACGTACACAATACATACATCTAAAGGCGGCGTCGTACACAGAGGCTCGATATGAATATCGCAGGAGAGAGCGGGCGGTTTTGCGCATCGTACGAAGGAACATTAGGACCACCAGTGTTTCTTGCACGCACCATGTGATGCTTAAACGACGGTACACCATTTGCTCGCAGCTTCACCATCCCTGTAAGTATTTTTCCAACACCCTTGTATATATACTCCGTACTTACTTTGGCGCGCGCGCGCCCGCGCAAATTGTTAATTACTGGCCATTAGGCTATTAGAGGCACGTTCGATTTAATTAGCTTGAGACTAATTTTATTGCTCTCTCTCGTTAGCATGCTGCGGTTGTATGTATGTACGAGGTCACCCCTTTTTCGCTGCGGTCCGACCACGTACGTACATATTACGCACGTGACGCGTCGAAACGTCCCATACACTCGCTAATTTATATTACTGGGAAATATTAAATACCGTTATATTATCCTCATATTATTATTATTATTAGAATCTTTTTGTATTAAATTGTCTATGCGAGCAGAGAATTTCCGGAATCGCAATTTCCCTCATCGTATATTGTTGAGCTAATGTTGAGACATTATTTTCTTATTAACTTTATAAAAAATCAATTTCTTCAAGGTTCAAAGATTTATTTTAGAAATTTACAATTACTTAGTTTCCATTTAATTTTACAACGCATATAATAAATAAGAGGGAGAGAGAGAAAGAAAAAAAGAGGGAAGGAAAAAGAGAGAAAAATTTATAATTTATTTTTATATTTTTCCTGCAATTTTTCAATCCGAACATTTTCCGGATACTGAGAGAGACAAGCGCATTCGGCATATCTGCATTTTTAGTGATACATGTGAACGTGTAACCATTTTACTGTAATTAAGTGCCAATCTTGAAATGGGCTCGCAATCAAGTATATTCATATAGATTTCGCGGGCGATTGTCAATGCTCGTAAACTACCTGTTAAATTTGTTTACGCCAGTCACAAAGTATTTATTGCCAACGTTGGTTACTTTATCAAGCTCGACAAAGTTGCTGGTACGACATAGAGGATATATATTCTGACAAATAATGACACCGACACGAGCCAAAAACAGACTAAAATGCGTACATACAAATTATTAAATTTGCCCAAATTGACGCTTGTCGATTGAATAATAAATATCCGTTACTGTTACTGACACCGTCGATACAATAGCACAATTACTCAAAGGACGATATGCGGGAGTGTAATTTAATTATTGCGTACACTGGAATTAAAACAATTTTTTAACAAACATGTGATAATTAGAAAGAACAACATACAGCACGCCAACATTTATTGGAATATATGAATATCAAAATATGATATATTTTTAAATAAGTGATATATATATATATATATATATATATATATATATATATGTATGTATCTACAACAATTCACATAAAAAAATTTGTTAAAATTATAATATGAAGAACTTTTCATATGAATTTAAAATCTAACTTTTTAATAGAAATGTCAAAATATTGATAAAATATAAGCTGTAGAAAATTAAAAATTAAAAGCGACTATTAGCTAGTTAAATTTTCAACAAAATCCACCCAATAATATTTTTTACTTAATTTTAAATAGACTTGAAGTAAAATCGTTTTGGAAAAAATTGGTTAAAATTATAATAGAAAGAACTTTTCGTATAAATTTAAAATCTATGTCTTTTTTAATAGAAATATCAAAATATTGAGAAAAAATTTGCTGTAGGAAATTAAAAATTAAAAACGATTATTAGATGGCTAAATTTTTAATACAATTTCAATAAAGTCTACCCAATAATATTTGTTATTTAATTTTAAACAAAATCGGAAGGTTTTGGAAAAACATTTGTGTTTGAACTAAATAAATTAATTTAATAAATTAAAGACATAATTATAATTCGTAAGTGCCCGTATAAAAATTAATTAATTGTATTATTTATTAATTATTAATTAATTATTTATTATTTATATTAATTATGTATTATATATTAATTATTTATATTAAATTAATTATATTATTCGCCTTTATAAAAAAAAATTTAAATAGTATTTGATATAACGAAATAATGTAGATTGTTATGAGATACTTCACATATTTACTGTCAAAGAAATATCAGCGGAATTATCCACTTCTCGTAGATGCAGTGTAAATCCTATGTCTAAACGCAGTTACGATCGCTCGGTAGAATGGCACGGCTGGTTTCGGCTCCGTTTCAAGCATTGTTATTCAGTTTCCGTTTGTGCCTATGTAAATGTTGGTTAAGCCCACGCAGGTTGGCATACAGAGCCCCTCAGGCTCGTTCTATATCCAAGTTATATGTGGGAAACTATAATCTCCGCTGCCTACGAGTATCCTCCTTACTCATGTTTAAGACGATATCTTCCCAAGATCTTAGTGTCCATCTTCTTCGAAAGCCCATCTGAATGGCTACATTCATGTTTAATTTGAATAAGATATATATTTGCATAGATGTCCATTAAAACTAATTTAGTAATTACGATTTAATTGCCTTCCATGCACTATCATCTTGTCAAGATTACAAGTTATAATTGCAAAATAAATATTTTATTAGAGGTGTCATAAGCGTCTCGAATAATTTTAAAATTGATTAATATTAGTGTTGAACATTATAAAGTAACATGTCAATTTTTTTATCAAACTATTTGATGATCCTTCTATTTAACTGATTGAATTTTTAACCGATGACACATTTTTAAGAATAAATAACATATTTCTTCGCTTAAAAGTCTTCTCTTTAAGATGGAAAAAAACATTGGCGGCCTATATATATGATTCCGTCTTAAAGTCGGAGAGATAATTATTTACGAAGACAAATAAATGTGTAACTGGTGCACTTGCATGTGTTTAATTAATTAACTAAAGTGCAGACGAACTACGTGCTGAATAAGGATATCAAAAGGATAGACGAGACGTAAAACAAGGGGGTGTAAAAGAAAGTCACTGTCCATAGCACAGTGGTAAAAAGAACGATATAAACCATAACTGCGAAGTAGCCTCGAGAAATTTTGCACAACGGTAAGATCACGGAGAGAGATCTTTTCGTTAAAGAGTCGGACAAAGTCGAGCAAGGGAAAATCAAGGATGTGCTTAAACATCTACGAAGCTTCTCTCTCATTCTATCTCCCCTTCTTTTTCTTCCTTGTTTTTTGTCCTGCCGCATTGCAACTGCATACACCAACCACGTAAACGTGGAAGACACGCGCGCTCGGCGCAGTCGAGTTAATTTAAGAGTAAACTTTATTTTTCATGTCTTTGCTGTTGGAGCGTGAGTCTCCTAACTTGGTGGAAAGTGGTGCGGGCTAAAAAATGAAATCCCGCGCTTCGAAGTTTTAAACCCTCTTTCCCGGCCCGGTAACTGTATGCAGGAGAGAAAGACAAAGAGATCGCGGTAGACAGACAGACGAGCCGTTCTGACAAAGTTTCCGCGCTCTTATCGTGTCATCGTGAGGGAACATTCTCACTCTATGAAATCATGAAGAAGACGGAAATCACCTGTTTATACGTGAATTAAAAAGAAAATTGAGCGAAAAATGGCTATTTATCCGAATGATATGACTGGAAATCAACAAGAGAAAAAAAGTAAAGAAATAAAAAATTTACAATATGAAAAATTCAATGTTGTTTTTCGAAAAAAAATTTCGCGATAATATGTCTACATGATCGTTGATAATATGTCTATTCGCAGCATGTATGTATATTTAACGTCCACAATAAAATAAATATTTTTTCGTTCTTTTGGTTTAGTCAACCAGATAATCATTCATTCGGTATCACTCGTCTCTTATTACATCGACATAATCTCGAAAGAAATCTGCGCCCGTCGAAGTGATTCGATCGAGTCGGACGATCGAGATTAATTCCGTTAATTAATCGTTGAAGAAACGTGGTGAAATGAAAAGCATCCATTATTCGCGACAAGATCGGTGGCCGGACGAGGGTGCCGCCGAGCACTCTTTGAGCACTTTCCAGTCCGTGGCCTCGCCAGAGCTTCATTCATCTCAGGAAATCCCCCTGAAGTGGCCTCCTTTAAATTGAAACTCAAATACACACCCTTAAAGAGCGAGCGAAAGAGCCCTTGAGGCGCCGTTGAGCCCATTCGAGACGGTTATTTTTCACGCCAGGTCGGGAGAGGGTCGTCGGCGTATACCTATACCTACTAGCAAGTGACGCTGTACGATAAGACAAGATAACCATTACAGGAAATCGATTCTGCTCGCCGTTAATCGCGATAAATACACGTTACATCAGTTACACTCGGAGGATCATCATTTAGAGTCGGAATTATTTGCCTGAATATAATTTCATATAATTATAATAATGTAATTAAATTTAATCAATTATATAAGAGTATATAATTTGTATAAGAATATTTGAATTTGAATTTTTATAATTTAATGTAATTTAATTGTACATATATATATGTGCAAAAATTATATATATTTTTTAAAACGATATATCGCGATTGTGATTTATGAGAAAAGGAATCACGTGGGCGTTTATGAAATTACAATATCTCACATTTTTTCCTTTACGAGAAATAATTTTTTTTGTTGCCATATCAATGTTGATCAGAGATGATATATTTGCGAGCTTCTCTTCACATTGTCCTCTCACAAATATCATCCCACGCCGCAACCACCCTTCATTCGTGCTCGCGAGCCTCTTTTTCGTCTTATTACCTCTGATGCCTGTTTATACGAACATGACTAAGACTCCCGCGCCATCGCCGTAATTAGGATATATCTCCCGGGAGACTCTCCGCTTTACTCTCTCCGGTGCATCGTGAAAAATACAACTTCGCCAACGCTATATCCGACCTCGTAAACCGCAAACAAAATTTTGTCATCCGGCCTTAAGTGAGTTACACCTCACGGGCTCCTCCCATTTTTCTCTCACCTTTCTTTACTTATCGCCCCGTGTATCTCGTTACGCCTTTATTTATCGTTACGTATTCGAAACTGTAAATGCCGGGGAAATGGATGCAGGCGCATCCCTTGAATTCCGTGAGATTCCGCTGCCAAGTGTATATATGTGTACGTGCATAATTTGAAATTCAAATTTGAATCGACCGCCCGATCTGAGAGATGTTATCCTTCTGATTTTTACGACGCTCTCGTTCGTTCGTTCGGCGCACTC